TCCATAGTGATTATAGACATAAATGCTTTTCACCAATTCAGTAGTCCCCATAAAAGAAACACTAAGAACATTAGAAAAATTGAATAAAATACTTATAAAAATTTCCTTGTCAATGAAACATGTATAAAAGAAGGACTGCTGTCTAAATATACAATGTGTGTATATATATATATATATATCTCAGTTAAGTGCCATCCATAATATGCAATTGGGCAATCACATCCTGTTTGAGCCAGAAGAATTTCCTACAGTAGCTTGCATCTATACCTTTCTCAAGGGTTTTTGTGAAAAAGTGAATGCAATGAACCCAATTGGAATTTGAAGTTGGCTGTCCAATTTCTAATTCCAAATCAATATCCATTACACCACAATATATATATATATATATATATATATATATATATATATATATATAATTATATATATTTGGTCAGCAATCCATCTTCTATACATGTTTCATTAAAGACAACTTACAAGATACTGTGGGTAAGCTTTTTTAATAAGTTTTTTCTTTTGTGGACATAAAAAAATATCTGAATGTTTTATATATCTAAAAACTAAAAAGCATCCTTGATAATGGCTAAAAGAATAGCCAAAAGCACTTGGATATGAGGAACATTCAGAGAATTTTTATAGACTTTATGTCCCGAAAAAAAAAATTTATACGAACATAAAAAAATAAAGGCTTAACCACTGTACCATGTCAGTCTTCCTTAATGATATATATATATATATATATATATATATATATATATTTTTTAAAAAGTAAATGCGAAGAATGGTGGATTCTTAATCTGTCTGTCCTTTTTATTTGGAGATATATCTGAAAACCATACCATGGGTTGACCCAAGCCTTGTGAGTGAAATTGGGTAAACAGAACATTTCGAAGCCATCAATAGCTGTGCTAGCACAAAGTCACAAGTCATTGTGACCGAGGGTTTGAGTGTGCTGGCCTTGTTCACATTAATAATCACACTAGATAACACACTCTCTTCCAGAAACTGTAAGGTCTGCTCAGCATGGATGCAGTATAAACCATAGGTTGGCTCTGTGGGTGTTGAGTAAACACAAATGTGCCTGAGCATGTGTCTGCAATAGGGATTGGCTAGCCACCCTAGTAGATAGGTATCCTCGAATACAAATGGTCAGCTATTATATATATATATATATATATATATATATATATTACACACAGACACACACACACACACACACACATACGGGGTGTAGCATACTCCCTACATAATGATGTCATTGACTAGATAAAGTCACCATTGCAAGTAATGTGATATCGTTATGGTGATTTTCTAAGTGCAGCTTAAATGTGGCACAAGGCCAAAAGTATAGAGCACCAGGTGAGGATTGAACTCACTATTCAGTTGTAATAGATCTAGATTTTTCTGCCACACCCTTTATATATTAATGTTAAAATATGTTAAACAAGCCTGAGTGTTAGACATTAACAAACTTTCTTAATAATAATAATTTAGAAATATAAAATTCTTGTCCTATCTATAGAAAAGTAAAAGCAACAAAAAACAGTAATGAAACAGAAAAAAAAAGGAAACAGATTTGAAAACAGCATTCTTTGAAGAAAATTTAAAGAAAATCAAAATTGTTAACTTAAAAAAAAATAAAATAAAATCAAGCAAATTTGAATAAAGAATTTAAAATCTAAATCAATAAATTAAAACAAAATGCAATAACATACGTAAAAAATAGGAAAAATAAGTAATTAAAACTAAACTTTGTCCTTGCCAGACAGTGAAGCATTGTTTCAGATACAAGGCCAGTGTACATAATAAAACAATCTATTTATCATAGTTAAACAACAACACCAACAAAAATGCCAAAGAATAATTTGAGCAGAATGGATTTCAGCCTTCAAGCAGATCATTGTTTGATGATTTCGTCGAAGCAAGAGAATGGGAAAATCCCCACCCCTCATCTGGAGGGTAAGTGAATGAAAAAAAAAAAAAAAATTAAAAGAAAAAAAAAAAAAATAAATAAAAATAAACAGACATAAATCAAAAATCGTGTCCAGTATTGTTTTAAGAAATGTCCTCAACAATGGCCAATCTTGTTTCTCAACTGACATTCACTTTGATAAGACTAATTATTCTCTCTCTCTCTCTCTCTCTCTCTCTCTCCCTTTCCTAAAAATACAACATGGGGGGAGGGGAAGGTAGTGCTTGTTTGCTGAAAGGTATTTCAAACAAGACAGTGGTTGTGACTCAGGAAAATGGAACTCTGGTCACAGCTGACAACTGACTAAAAATGACAACTAAGGACTAAAAAGAGTCATGAAACCAAATTCCCTTGGACTATCGCCACCTGTCATCTGAATGTTGAAGTTCATTCAAACATTGACTACATTGATACAACTCACCCAACTAATCGAAGGCTTAAGTTTGAGCTGCTAGTTTCAAAGCAAGACTGATTTGGGTTTTATTTTTATGGCTTAGCAACCTTTTGTGGGTTATTTAAAGCCAGAAATTTTTTTTTTGATTTTAAGAACTGGGGGAGGGGAGATAAAGATTTACTGATACAAGTCCTACTAATTAACCCATAGCTAGGAGGAGAAAAGGTGGATTCATACCTTCGCCAAGAGTATTTGCATCTGACCAAACCTGACTGGAATTGGAATTCAGCTCTCCAATTTCCAATTCTGAGCGATTGCCTATTACACCATCCGCGCATCCAAGCTTAGAGCAGCTGGTATTCCCAAGTGGTCACCCATCTAGGTACTGACCAAGCTTAATGCTGCTTAACTTTGATGATGGTACAAGGACCAGTGGTCAGCGTGATATGGGGCAAGACTTCAATGAAAGAGAACGATCATTGCCAAATGATACAAACATTATCTAAAATGCCTTACTAAGACAAGTGCTGATCTCAAAGGCCATTGACACCTGGTACTGAGTTTGATCCTCATCAGTGATCAACACCCACTGCTTTGGGCATAAATATCTGTTTCAGGCGACTGCCAGTGGTTAGCATGTTACCAACGATTTCAGCAGCATACTGAGTTTCTATACTCGGTTTGGCTGTGGGCATGTAGTGGAGTGATTAGAACACATCTCACCAGGGTCGATTTGTCAGTAAGGAGACTTCCTGACGTTATTGGACAGGAGGGGTCAATCCCAGTGTGTGGCACCTTTGGAAAGTGTCTGGAAACTGTTCCTTGGGTTGAGACAAGCCTTGTGAATGAAATTGGGTAGACGGAACCCTTGGGGATCATTGATAGCTGTGCTAGCACAAAGTCACAAGTCATCATGGCCGAGGGCTTGAATGTGCTGGCTTCGTTCAAATTGTAGATCACACTAGATAACATGCACTTTTCCCAGAAACTGTAATTACGGTCTGCTCTATAAACTACAGGAGGGCTCTGTGGGTGTTGAATAAACACAAGTGCGCCTGAGCAAGCGTCTGCAATAGGGATTGGCTAGCCGCCCTAGTAGACAGGTATCCTTGAATACGAGAGGCCAGCTATACACTTAATCTGGCATTTATCAGCTGTCTGCAATCAAGCAACAGCTCAGAAAGATAACTACACAAATCAATGCTCAGGTGTAAGTCTTGATTCTCACCAGGTGCCCCAGAGCCGAATCTTAGCTTGATTACCTGTTTGTAGCACAATAGTAAGCATGCTAGACTCAAAGACACTCAATACTGACTGAGAAGTTATTCCAAACATGTGCCAGGCTAAATTAAGCTAAATAAATCAAAGGACATATTGTGACAGAAGAGTTACTTCCCTTTGACAATTATTGCTCCTCACCAGGTAACCTGATTATAAAAGTACCCTGACATGTGATAAAGACTAGTAAACTGGGTTTGTGAATTATGGGTTTTAGAAGATCTAATTTTTTGTGTTCTGTACCAATGGACATATTCCGCACTATGCAAAGCTTAGTAAATTTTAGCAATTCGTCGAGTATTCATTTTTTACTAAATCATATGGATAAATCATTATTAATGTGTAGTGAATTTAATTCTCATGATGATCCTCATGACCTTGTACTATACTAAACTTGTAAATATCTGCAACTTGCCATAGGTTAATTTTTTAGCAAATTGGCACTATAAAAAAAAAAAAAAAAAAAAAAAATCATTACTCTTGATTTTGATTCTCACAAGACTCCTCATGGCTTTGTACCAGACTATGTAAATATTGGCAACCTTCCATAATTTAATTTTCACTGGGTGCCTAAAAAGCCTTGTGCCAGACGAAGATAATTTTAGATAATCTGCAACTTAATATGGGTTAACTTATGAAACTGTTATTGAAAAATCAGTACTAATATGTAATAAGTTTAAATCTCACCAGGTGCATCATGGCCTTGTGCCAAACTAAGGTAAGCTAGTAATTATTGGTAAGTAGTAATTATAGGTTAACTTTTAGCAAACTGGTACTGAAAATCCTTACTACTGTAGAGTAAGGTTAATACTCACTGGGATCCTCATGACCATGTGCCAGACTAAGCTAAGCTAGTAATTGCTGGTAACTTGCCATAGGTTAATTCTTAGCAAAACAGCACTGAAGAATTGTTACTACTGTGTAGTAAGTTTAATCCTCACAGGATCCTCATGTCCTTGTGTTAGATAAGTTTAGTGAATTAGAATGATGAACTAATGTTGCTAAAGTAATTTCAAAGGCATCTATTATTGAATTATTTTCTGAAGACCTCGTCAAATAATAAAAATGTAAAATCGTTTGGGACTTAAATTTTATTTTCTATGACACCATTTTTATAAGTGATTGAATCTGAGGAAATTTAACTTCTTTTGCTTAGAGGTCACATTTTATTTTCACATATTCAACTTCTCAAACGCTGTGTACGCAATCAACATTCAATATCGCTGTAAGCACTTGCTATAGAGCAGGAGTTAGTATACATCCTGAAAGCCATTGCTAGTACGTCTGTTCTTCAAATGCAGTCTTCTATCTAAGTCAATACAGTCCAACAAATATCTGTGCAGAAACTGCCATTCTGTCATGATTTTGCCATTTAAGATACCGACCGTCATCAAATGTCTATGGGCTGCCATCAGCAAATCCTTACACGTATACTCACATGTGTAGGAACGTCTATTAATCCATTTATTTCCTGAATTAAAGAAAAACAATAACCATTATGTCTGTCTTCTCTTTTCGTTCCTCTCTTCCTCTTTTAACAAATAAATCCTCAGATTTGGAACATTTTTGGTCCATTTGGAATTGTTTTTCCTCTTTCTCTTTCAATCTTTCCTGACATAAATTCTCCAAACCAATTCCAATCCATTCTGATTTCTCACTCTTTCAATCCTCCTTGTTATCTTCCCAACTCTCTTCCAAAATAAATTTCCTCTGCCATTCTCAGCTACTCAGGAGGAATCCTACCTCAGCCAACACCGACCCCACCACCACCATCACCACCACTAAAAACCCCACTTCCTAATCTTTTTCTTCTTCAGAAATACCACCTTGCCGCCACTACAGCCCTCACCAACCCCGGTTCTACACACATGCAATTTTCATTCCCTTAAAATTCCCTTCCAATCTTTCCTGTCCACTCCCTCAAAAAGTTTGGCGCTCACTTTTCCTTTGAAATAAATCCTTCCCTACCATTTTCATCCACTTGGAATCTTAATTCAATCCCAACCCTCCCTCCTGCTCACTCTATCTCTCTCTATCTCCAAAATAAATCCTTTCTGCCATTTTCATGAAGTTAGAATCTCTCTGGCTTTATAATCTTTCCCTTTCTCTCATACCAATTCCTCACTTGAGCATTTTTCTCCACACCAGACTGTGCTCCTGGCTCTTGCTCTTCTAGAAACCATTTTTCTTTCTTTCTTCTCTTTTCTACTGGACTCCATAGAGATAATGTTTGTCTTTTGTGCTTCTTTCTAGAAAACTTTTCTTTCTTTCTTTCTTTCTTTTTCTCCTGGACTCCATACTGATAGTAGTCTGTTTTTTGTTCTTTAGAAAAAGCATTTCTTCCTTTCTTTCTCTCCCTGGACTTCATAAAGAAGTTTGCTTTTGTTCTTATTTTTTTTTTTTTCCTAAAAACCATTATTTCTTTCCCTGGACAACATTCAGGATTTCATTTATCGCATTTGTTTTTTTCTTTTTTATATTTTTTATTTAAATCATTAATTTCTTTCTCTCAATATTTTTTTTTTGGACTCCATAAAATCCTTTGCGTGTCTCTTGTTCTTTCTATAAAAAAAAAAAAAAAACTTTCTTTCTTTCTCTCTCTTTTTTTCTCTTGGACTCCATACTGATAATGGTTTCTCTTTTAGGCTTTTCAACTGGATTCCATATAGATAATGGTTCGTCTTTAGCTCTTCCTTCTAAAAACGATTAATTTCTTTCTCTCTCTTTCTCCGTGTTTTTCCCCCCCCTGTTCTCTATAAAGACAGTTTGTTCTTATTCTTTTGTCTAAAAATCATTATTTCTCTCTTTGACATTTTTTTTACTGGACAACATACAGGCCACCATTTTTTTTTTCATACACTTTTTTTTCTAAAGTCATTCATTTCTTTATACTCTTTCTTCCTGGACTCCATGAAGTCCTTGGTGTGTCTTTTGCTCTTCTTAAAAGCCATTAATTTCTTTCTTTCTTTCTTTCTTTCCGGCTGGACTCCATACAGACATTGGTTTGTCTTTTCTTTTAGAAAATCCTCTTTCTCCAGTACACTGTTAATCAGCGGCCTGCACTATCATCTCCATATTCTCTTCAGAGTTCTCCTTCTCCTTTTCTCTTTACCCCTTAAACACCATGATCAGAACACACCTGCCACCATCTTACTCCAGTCTCCACCAACCATGGCCCCCACCATTTTTTCTCTCCGCCCTCACCCACCAGGAATAAGCACCCCCACTCTTGCCATTTTTGCCCATTTGGAACCTGTATCTTGCATGGCGTTGATTTACACACTGCTTTCTCTACTTCATCCATAATGCATAAGACTCCAATGCAGAATTCATTTCATCCAACTACCCCCCTACACCACCCCCCACGGCACACACACATGCTTCCCTGTGTACTATCCTCCACCTTCCACCTGTCCCTATATAATGCACGGCGCTAATACAAACTGTGGGAGAGTCAATATAAACACAGATATGTGAATATCAAGGTTTATATGCAAATATGAATATGTATTTTATCAGCATCTACAGGGAAAGTCTAATTCTGGGTGGTGATAACACACACATATATACAAGGGGGTGCTGAAAAGTTCTCAGCCTGGATGCATTCCCAAAATCAGTGATTGTATGGTTGCTGATTAAAATAAAGAATTTTGGAAGTGGGTCAGGCTGAGAACTTTGCAGCACTCCCTCCCCCTTGTTTATTTGCCTGTATTTATATATTTACTACATTTTATTTTCGGGATATATTAATAAACCCACACTAAAAACTATACATATATATATATATATATATATATATATATATGCGAAATACCCATGTATGTATATATTCTATAATGAGTATGTTTGTGTGTATGTC